CTCATTTTCCACTCAGCAGCTAATGATGCCAACCATGTATCTACAGCCCATTGTCATGAAAAATGGGGAGGAGAGGGTTCCTTAGATAAATACAGGGTTAGCAAAGAAAAGTTGCAGTAACTCTTAGGAATCACTTCAGGGTCCAAGAAAATTCATTCCAGAGCTTCAAGAGTTTATAACTCAAAAACAACAGTAGCAATGCATTAGGTGGTGAATCTTCTTGGCCTTGTCAATAGATAACCTCAGAAATGATCAGAGAATACATTTCAAAAAGGTAAGCATGTGACTTTCACAAAAATGTAGTATTCATGTATGTCAAAAATTTTAATGAGCTTATGTATTTTGGAGACAAACAGTATGATGGTAAATAAATGTAAAAAAGCATTTTAAAAACTCAGTGCTTGTAGTCCACCAGGATAGAACCTGTGAAGGAAATTTTTTGTGTTGAGGATACACTGTCTTTTAGAATAATAGCAACATAGCTATGAATTTGTGTTCTCATCTCACAATCTACAAATTAAAATCACCCCATTTATATGAAATATCTAGAAAAATAACTGTACATTTGGACATTCCCGTCTAATGCCACCCATCCATCCTCTCCCAAAGTGGAATCTCTCTGCCCACGTTCTGCTCCTCTCCACACATCTGTCTGCTGACACATGGCTCCTCCCTGCCTTCCTTTCCAGTACCCTCCACAGATTGGGCCCACGAGGGGAACAAGCTCTTGGACTTGGGGAACAAAAGTGCATCTTGTTGGACTTCTGAGGACTTGCCCTGCCAGGGTCTCTTTCTGGATCACAATCCCTCTGTTCCCGGGAGTCCACTTTTGCTGGATCCCGTTATTCATCTCTGTGTTACCCCATCTAGGTCTACTCTGTGGACTTCTTGATATCTTCACCTGAACCCCAGGAATCTTCAAGCCATGTCAATATTTCCTCAGTTGTCCTGAAATGTCTTGTTTTCTGTTCTCCTGCGATCCCACCGAGTCATCCCTTCTGAGACCCCTGAGTACAGCAGGGGCCTCTCTGGTCTCTTTGCTTCAATTATGAATGAGGAGAATGGGAGGTCCTCTTTGCCACTCCCACCCCTGTGTTGCCATCAGGGTCAGCTTCACGAGGCAGGGATGAGGCTGTCTAGATCAACATGGCGTTCCCAACATTGAGCTCTGTGCCCAGCACAAGGTAGGTGCTCAGTAACGATTTGAGAAAACCTACATTTCATCACACTGGCCTCATTATACTGAAGCCAGGATGGGGCTGAACTGGGAGAGGCAGTGGTAGAAATGTTCCTCTCTCTGCTTTCAGGCTAAGAACTCATGGGACGTCCACCAGGGAGAGCATCGCTTGGCAGAAAGGCGGCCATGGGCAGTCTTGTCCTCTATGGGAGACACTGCTCAGCCTGGGGGAAGCTCTGTTCTTGGAGGTGGGAGAAAAAGATAAACAAAATTCACCGTGAACGTCTATGCATCATCACAGAGGAGGCAGTGACAAAAAATAGGAAGCGCAAGCCCAGTTACAATTCCTTTCTACTTTAAAAGAAATAAAATTTAATATGCCTGCTGTGTTATGTAAACACAACAAACATTTTTCAAAAGCTATAAAAATATTTAAAATAACATGGCTTACAATAAATGGGAACATTTCAAATAATGACACCCATGAAATGCAATCCTAAAATACAGAATACACTTTATTTCAGTTACATGACTTGTCTGGTTTGATTTAAATGTCTATATTAGATATCGCTATTTCTTTCTGTATTTTTGTTTGTTTGCTCCTTTGTTGTGTTTGAGATGGAGTCTTGCTCTGTCACCCAGGCTGGAGTGCAGTGGCACAATCTCGACTCATTGCAACTTGCAACTTCCAGGTTCAAGCAATTCTCCTGCCTCCGCCTCCCAAGCAGCTGGGACTACAGGCGTGCACCACCATGCCCGGCTAATTTTTGTGTTTTTACTAGACATGGGGTTTCTTTTTTCTTTTTTCTTTTCTTTTCTTTCTTTCTTTCTTTTTTTTTTTTAGACGTAGTCTCCCTCTGTTGCAAGGTGGAAGTGCAGTGGTGCAATCTCGGTACACTGCAACCTCCACCTCCCGGATTCAAGCAATTGTCCTGGCTCAGCCTCCCGAGTAGCTTGGGACTACAGGCACCAGCCAACATGACCAGCTAATTATCGTATTTTTAATAGAGATTCAGTTTCACCATGTTGGCCAGGATGGTCTTGATGCCTTGACCTTGTGATCTGCCCGCCTTTGCCTCCCAAAGTGCTGGGATGACAGGCGTGAGCCACTGCACCTGGCCCAAGATGGGATTTCATCATGTTGACCAGGCTGGTCTCAAACTCCTGACCTCAAGTGATCCACTCACCTCAGCCTCCCAAAGTGCTGGGATTACAGGCGTGAGCCACCATGTCCAGTCCATTGTTTAGATGGTGCATTTAAAACCTCATGGTACTACAACTGCCGGGTGACAGATACACCAGAGTAAATAACATAACTATCCTGCTGTTTTCCAACCACATGGGATTCCACAAACAAAGATTTGTTGAGTCCAAGGTGTATCATACCAGAACTCCCGCAGTCATATACACAATCTGTTTCATTTTAATGAACAGGATTATCTTTTTTCTTTGGTTTATTGTTTTTAATGTATCATATTCTAGATTTCATTACAAAACAAAGATGAATAATTTCTATCATCTTTAAGACATGCCCAAAACACTCATTACTGAATTTGAACCATATTATTTCCTAAACATCGTAGTTGGAATGGTTGATCCTAAAGGCTACCATGTGTCAGGCTCACCAGTGTACAGACTCTGGTCAAAACAAGTTAGCATTTTAATTCTTCCCATCTTCAAATACTGAGCATATTTGCTTTTTTGCTCTTAAGCGAAACACTGCAAAGTCATTTGCCAGGATCTCCTGCAGACTGGCATTCAGTGATGGAGAACAGACTCCTGGGTGAGATCCCTGGTCACAGAACCCAGAGGACTGTGACTGCAAGTGTGGAAAAGTAGATAGAGAACAAACATTTACCAGCATAACCCTCTGAGAATGTGCCCCGGCCATCCTGGAGGGAAGAGCTACTGACTACCAAGCACTGCAGAGTCCACAGAGGAAGGAGGGCTCTGGCCACCAGGGAGGAGCGACGTGAGAGCAGAGGACCCGGTGTCCCCACAGTTGAGGAAATGAGTCCATGGAGCTGGTCAGGGCTCTCGATTTCATTCTGACATGAGAGGACTTTGTGTAGTCACCACCTGAGTCCTATACAGTGAACAGCCAGGGAGCCATGGACAGATTCACCCCTGAGGAACCCAGTAAAATGTGAAGTCTGCCCTGAAGTCACAAAAAAAAAGACTCAGGGAGCTGCCTGGCCTGGCCATGATGGAGAGGGCTGTGGACAGAACAACCGGGAGGGAGGGGTGTCTCTGAAAGGCTCTGGTCATCTTGTCATACAATGGTGTTGTACAATGTCACACAATGGACACGAGGGGGCACCAGCGTACCATTCTTGAGAAGACTGGGTGTGATGAGAGCAGGACCAGCGCCAAGTGTCCTGCTTGGTGCCCTATGCTTAGGGCTCACAGATGTGAACTCTCCACCCCCTGGGACCACAGGGCCCCACCCCTGCCACTCCCTGACGTCTTCAGGCAGAGGAGCTTGACCCAGGGCCCAGGGTGGGATCAGAAAGCTGGAGGGTCTGATTTGCATGGATGGACCCTCCTTCTCTCAGAGTATAAAGAGGGGCAGGGAGAGATTTGGGGAAGCTCTGCCTCAGCTGTGAGCACAGAAGGCAGGACTCGGGACAATCTTCATCATGACCCGGTCCTCTCTCCTCCTCACCCTTCTCATTCACTGCACAGGTGCCCAGACACAGGGTCAGGGGAGGGGTCCTGGAAGCCCGTGAGGCCCCGCTTTCTCCTTCTCTCTCTAGATCAAGAATCACCATGTCTGTGTCTCTCCCGCTTCCAGGCTCCTGGGCCCAGTCGGTGCTGACACAGCCGCCCTCAGTGTCCGCGGACCCAGGACAGAAGGTCACCATCTCCTGCTCTGGAAGCAGCTCCAACATTGGGAGAAAATATGTATCCTGGTACCAGCAGGTCCCAGGAACAGCCCCCAAACTCCTCATCTATGAAAATAATAAGCGACCCTCAGGGATTTCTGAACGATTCTCTGGCTCCAAGTCTGGCACTTCAGCCACCCTGAGCATCACTGGACTCCAGACTGGAGATGAGGCTGATTATTACTGCGAAACATGGGATAACAGTCTGAATGGTCCCACAGTGCTCCAGAGCCCAGGCGGGGAACTGAGACAAAGAACCCCCCTTCCTCCTCTGCCAGGAGGGTGAGTGCCTGCAGCTGCTGCTCACGCCTGACCTGTGGCCTGCTGCTGTAACTCCCCCATGGGCTAGGGACAGCGGGGCCCTGCACCCTGGGAGGTGGAGGCTCCACTGCTTGTCCTCAGAGTCACCCCTTCCTCCTCTGCCAGGAGGGTGAGTGCCTGCAGCTGCTGCTCATGCCTGACCTGTAGCTTCTGCTGCTGTAGCTTCCCCCATGGGCCTAGGGGCAGCCAGGGCCCTGCCATGGAGTGGAGGCTCCACCACCTTTGTCCTCAGAGTCAGGAACAGGGCCTCCAGGAAACAGAATATCCTGCTCCCATAGTTTGAGGCACAGGGTCTCTGCACTGAAATCCTGGGCCTAGGTGACAGGTCTACCTGTGTCCTCACGGACCTTCCTGTGCCTGCCCATGGTGTGGGGAGGGGGTGAGGAGGTATAGGCCTTTCGCTTCACTAGAGGCCTGAGGGAGCAGAGCTGCTCCCCAAGACCTGGACTCCTCCTCTCACCCTCCTCCCATCTCTCTCCTCACTGTAACTATGGCCAGGTGAGGGCTCCACGCTACCTGAAAACCTTGCTCAGCCCAGGGCCTCCATCCCAGGCACTGTTTCCGATCTCTGTAAGGGCTGTCTCTGAATCTGTGGAAACATTTATTTCTATGTGCCCAGGACAGAGTTAGAGGGAACCAACCCCAACCCTTGCAAACTGCTCGTCACCTCTCCGTGCCCCAGTGAGGAGAAGAAAGTCAGAAATCAGAAGTCTACCCAAGGCTCGCCTCTCTCCTCTCTCGCAGCCACCCCTTGGCCTCCTCCTTCCACAGAAATAAAGAGGAGGCAGCCACAGAGGGCAAGGAGAGGCCCAGACATGATACTAGGCAGCAGAGCGAGGCATTCTTCCCAGATGATGGTGGGAGGTGATGGAGGTGTCTGAGACCACAAAATAGTGAGGACCTACCGGGCGCAGTGGCTCACTTGTGTAATCCTAGCACTTTGTGAGGCCGACGCAGTCGGATCACGAGGTCAGGAGATCAAGACCATCCCGGCTAACACGGTGGAACCCCATCTCCACTAAAAATATAAAAAA